TAAACCCTAAACCCTAAACCCTAAAGCCATCGCAAGCTGCCCACACCCTGTGAGACCTGTCTCTTTCAGGGCCAGGCCGAACTGCTCGAAGTTGGCTTCTAAACCTCGTGGAATCGTTGGCGTTTCGAGTCGGCTTTGTAGTTTCATGCGTTCCGTTTTGAACTAGGAGCTTCGGGTGAAAGCCCTAAACCCTAAACCCTAAAGGCTAGGGCAAGCCGTAGAGACTTTGGAGGTGGGGGCGACGCCTGAACGCCTGAGCGAGGGATTGCTGCAGGGTTTCGGGGCTAGCGGCTTTCTGAATTGAGTTCTACACAGAAAAGGGGGGTTTCCGAAATTAGGGGTACCTTATGTTATTGGGGTCCTTTTATAAGGGAATCCTACGATTTGGGGTATATATTAGGGGTCCCTGATTTTCGTAAACCCCAATGGTAACACACACGTGCGCAATTCGCAGGCGGCAGGCGCTTAGTGTCGGCCGCTGCTTGACACGACATGATCAACGGAGCTGTCTTTGGTCCCTGCACAAGGTTTTCTAATCAGGGCCTACCAAAAAAAATAGGTTCTGGGTTCTTCAGGATTCGTGTAGCAGCAGGGACCCCCCCCCCCCCCCTTTTGAACCCACAGCATTCTCTGGGGCGGCTCTAAACCCTAAACCCTAAACCCTAAACCCTTTTTGCAACTGGACTCCTTGCTGCCAAACCCTAAACCCTAAACCCTAAACCCTAAACCCTAAACCCTAAACCCTACACCAGATGGAGGGGGCCGTCGAAGAGACCCCAGTTGGAGCATCGTTGAAAGCCCTGGCAGGATGAACTTGGGAACCCCATGAGCCGCTTAAACGGGGTGTAGGGTTGAGGGTTCAGGGTTTAGGGTTAGGGTCTAGGGTCGAAGGTCTGGGGCTTAAGGTTTTAAGGTTTAGGGCTTAGGGTCTAAGCTAAAAGGGATGCTTGGTTCACGTATTCCTTGAACTACATAGTAACTACATATAGAACCTAAGTTTAGGGTCGAAGTTTATTCCTTGAACTACATATAGAATCTAGAGTTACGTTTGGGCTTAGGGCCCAAGTTGATATCGCCAAGATGTTCCAGAGCAGCCGAGAGGCTGCAGCCATGCTTCTCGAGAAGGACGTGGTTCATTGCCTGGGCCCGGGGTGTTCAAAGCAGGCGACGTCGAAATGCGGCCGCATCTGCTTGGACGCCCCGAGCCCTATAAACCCTAAACCCTAAACCCTAAACCCTAAACCCGTTTGCAGCAGGCTTGCTGAGTTGCACGCCTGGATTGAAGATGCCCTAAGCCCTAAACGCTAAACCCTCAACCCTCAACCCCTAAAGGGGGGACGAGGCTCCTTCCCTATCCCTGTTGGAGCCACACTGCACAAGCGGATCACGAAACATGTGACCGCAGCCTGCAAAGGAGGGGGTGGACAAAACTGGAAACCAGGAACCAAACATTCGCAGTTTCGGATTCGGGCTTCGGGTTTAGGGCTCAGGGTTTGGGGTTTAGGGTTCAAGGGTGGGCCAGTTTCTGAGTTTTTGCTTGCTCAAAAAGGTCGACGAACAAACAGGAAACCAGAACGGCCGAAATCGGAAACCAGAACGGCTGAATCGGAAACCAGACCTGATTCGGAAACCAGAACGGAAAAACCGGATTCGTTCGAGCAGGTCCCACCCCCGCCCTGTCACTTCTGAGGCGTTTTCCCCCACGTCGAGCAGGTTTGCTTGTCATGCGCTGAACGCGATTAACTCACCCTCCCATCCGGTTTCTGCTTCGCAGCTCCTGGTGCGCAGTTTCTGACTCGTGCGGGTTTCTGATGCGCAGTTTCTGATTCGTGCGTGGTCCTGATGGACAGTTTCTGACTCGGGCGGGTTTCTGATGTGGTTGCTGATTCGCAGTTTCTGATTCGTAGGCCGGTTTCTGACTTTTTGCCTGATCCAAGGAGGGGGGGTTGGGGTCTAATCTTTAGGGTCCCCCCCATATAACTCAACCTTGGCTCCAAGGTGCGGCAGCCCTCTAAGCCGTCACCCTAAACCCTAAACCCTAAACCCGGAACTTTGAACCCAAGGCCCGAAATTGTTGGTGTAGGAGAATAGGGGACCCCGGATATAGACCCCCAAATCGCAGAGTTTTCTTGTGGTAAGGGCCCCAGTAAGTAAGGTACCCCTAAACCCTAAACCCTAAACCCTAAACCCTAAACCCTAAACCCTAAACCCTAAACCCTAAACCCTAAACCCTAAACCCTAAACCCTAAACCCTAAACCCTAAGCCTAAACCCTAAACCCTGCCCGTAAACCCCCAAATCAAAAGCGCTCTGCACACCCTCCACCCGGGCATCCTGCCACGATCATCTCACGAGCTCGGGACACTTCCTGCTGGCTGGTTCTTACTAGGGAATGAGGGAGTGAGTACCCTAATTAATCCCTTTAAAGTCCTTAATAGGGATTATAGCAGGGGGTACTATAATTCTATAATCCCTATTGAAGGGTATATGCAGGGCTCTAATGAGGGAGTGAGGTACACGGGGGGGCCCAAGATCTGCGATGTTAGGGTTTACTTAAGGGTCAGGCCCTTGCAAGGGCTTGGATTCTACGACCCTATCAACCCTGCACCCTAAGCCCTGCCTAAACTGGATGGTTCTTAGTAGGGAATGAGGGAATGAAGTACCCTGTATAATCCCTTAGAGGGTATACGTAGGGATTTCATTCCTTCATTCCCTGCTAAGAACCAGGGGGTAAACCCTGAACCCTACAAACTGTTTACTGTTGAAGGGGGTAAAGCCCGGCAAACCTGGCACATCCGACTGAAGGTGGCCAGGGAAAGGCCCTAAACCTTGATTTCATGGGTCGTTCTGGGTACCTGACCTGTGGTCATATTATACCTTGAGAACCCAGAACCTACCTTTTCCTCTGATAGGTTTCTGAGGTTACCTACAAGAAAAAGGCGGGCTTTGGGTTCTTAAGGTAGAGTGCCTTACTTATGACTATGGGTTCTTCAGGTAGAGTGCCTTACTTATGACTATGCCAGAGTGATACCTGCCCCTGAACCTCAGTCCTCGATTTTGTCGTGACCTCTTTGCAGCCTGGGACATGCAACTTGCCAGCACATGAGAATCTACCTGGCTTCAATCACAGGGACATTTCATGGCCCTTACTTATGCCACCGCCTGTACACTGCCCTACACCCTACACCCTAAACCCTAAACCCTAAACCCTAAACCCTAAATCCTAAACCCGAACCAAATCCTCTGATGTGTTGCTATGATGTGTTCCTTTCATGTGTCGCCAGGTAGAGCAGTCAAGCAGCTCAAATTCGAGGTCCTGCCGGGTGCAAGATCGACAAACGGTGATCTGCTTAAGGAAACTGAAGCCCACAGACCGCATCGTGTGTAGGGTTTAGGGTTTAGGGTTTATATAGGGTTTAGGGTCTAGGGGCGAACCCTTAAAGGCCTGAACGTGCGGTTACCGCATAGGCTTACGGGGTAAGGATGTATTGTGTTCGGGGGAAAGTGTGACGGTCACGTTTCCGATATGTCGCGTAACAAGGGTTCAGGCAACTGCTTCTCGAGGGTGCGGGCTCTTCAGCGGGTCTCGAGGGCGAGCATCCGAGTTTTGAACCTGGTGCCCAGCACACGCTGGCCCCAAACAAGTCTAAGCTTTCCTCGAAGTAGGTTGTATTTAACTTATTTAACCCCACAACAGTTTAATGTGTACTTGCTGTACTACTATGTAGAAGGCTAAGAGCACACTGCAAAAAAATCATGCTGGGCATGCTCTCATTTGTGAGCCCTATAGTACCCATAATGGGAAACCCAGAAGAGACCACATTCTAGAGAGTGCGGTTTAGGGTTTAGGGTTTAGGGTTTAGGGTTTAGGGTTTAGGGTTTAGGGTTTAGGGTTTAGGGTTTAGGGTTTAGAGTCTCCCATGTGCCTGGAAGGTGATCCGCATGCCTCCCGGAGTGTTGCGGCCCAAGCGCGCAAAAATGGCCTCGCGCGGGCCGCAAACTCAGATCCAACCCTTCCGAAATTTGGGCTGCATGCTCGGAAAAGGTTTTTCGCCATCCACCTAGCTGACACCTCACACGCCCGGACAAGAATTTAGCATGCGGACCTTTCAAGAAATTGAGAGGAACAAACACTCCAATTCTGTATTGATCAAGGTGCCCAAGCAGCACCTGGCGATTCGCACATCCCAAGCTCGGAAACTGCTGAAGCCCCCACCCAACCCTCAACCCTACCACAAACCCTACAAGGCCTATAAACCCTGTAAACCCTGCAAACCCTGTCAACCCCATAAACCCCCCTAAACCCCATAAACCCTATAAACCCTATACCCTGGAGCAAAACCCCCCCCCACCCCACCCAACCCCTTCAGGCTGGACCTCCGCCTCTTGCCGCGAGATGGGAATGTTGTGATGCAGGCAGGCCTGGCATTTAGGGATTAGGGTTTAGGGCTTAGGTTTTAGGTTTTAGGGTCTAGGGTCGAGGAATTAGGGTTTATGGTTAGGGTTGCAGAGGGTTTAGGATCGGCGTTTGTCGCAGGATTTATAGTCTGCAGTTGGCAAGGCAACTCCAACTCTCATTTCAGGATTGTCCAACTGTTTCTTCCTGGTCTAATCCCTTCCCCCAAACTATTAAATACGCCCCCCCATATACTATACCATAACTATAATGGGCGCGGGGGGGGGGGGGGGGGGGGGGTATTTTAGGGGGTAGGCGGGGGTACAGATCGGGCTGTGCGTGCCTTCAGGGTTTACCTCAAGAACCCAAAGCCTACTTTCTTGTAGGCTCATATTATGAAAACCCTGAAAGGACTCTGGGGTAACATACAAAATTGCTATCATCCGATTGGGTTTTAATTAGGGACAATAGGTAGGCCCTTCCAGGGCGAAAGTCGCGTCTCCAAACTAGCAAAGAAAACTGTTGACCCAGAGCGCCGTGCGAACGATTCCTCTTTTTGCGTGCTTCCCGCTGACTCCAGTCGATTAGGAGCTGCGTCGCGTCGGCTACTTCTTGTCGAGCACAGAGCCGGAGGCAACCTTAGAGAGAACCGCAAGGAGGTCGTTGGAATCTTCTTGGTTGCTGTTTAGCCCCCCAATAAAAGTTTAACTTTTAGCTCCCTTGAAATGAAGTTAGAGGATCCCTAAACTTATACAGTGATAAAGTTGTAGTAAAGTCCCACCTAGTCTTTGTGGCTGCCATTGCACGTCGACGTGCCGTGCTCTCAAGAAGCATCCTGACTCCTGCGTTCCGTCCGGTTTGGCTTTTGGTTTAGGGTTTCCCCCGTATACTAACAGTCCTTAATAGTACCCCCGATGATAATCCCTATTCAGGGCTGTTCGAAAAGGGGGAACATCCCAAGTTGACGGTTCTTTCACACACTCCTTCCAGGAATTAGAGCCCTGACTTTCCTGGTGGCGGCTGACTTTGCCATCATCTCTCCTTGGGGACAACAGAACCTCGAAGTTGGGCATCTTAACACCCCAAACGACTGCCACAAGGGCAAATCCTGGGACCCGACCCGAGGGACTTATACCTGAAAGACCCAGAGCCTGCCACTTTTGTGTAGGTTTACTAAGCAACCTACAAGGGGCTTCAGAATAAGAGCCTACCAAGAAGCAGGTGCCGGATTCTTGAGGTCTAGGGCTTAAGGGTTTTTGGGGTCTGCAGCTTGTCTTTGCTTACAAGGGGTTTCAGTGTAACCCAAGAGCGAAAAAGGCCGGTGGCCTCTTTATCTGTTCCCCTTATATCTTAACACAGCTCCTGCCCCCCAAACTCCAATATAGCCCAAGAGCCTTCCTCCCACTCTGCCCGCGAGAGGTGCCCATCGTGCGGGTCGACGTCCATGTCGTCGTAGAGAGTCTGGGCCGTGGCCTGCGGAGTTGAACGCCGGTTTTTTTTGGGCTTAGGGTTTAGGGTTTAGAGTTTTGGGCCCAATTAGGGTTTAGGGTTTGTAGGATCGTAAATATAGTCCTTTTAAGCCCAACAGGGGGGAATTCAAAATGTCCCAAGGGCCTACCGAGTGAAAGCCGGGTTTTGCGGGTTTCTAGGATCAACCCGCCAAACCGTCTGCAAACCCTGCGGTTGTTGAAGCCCCCCATTGTGCCCCATCACTTGGGATGCTCCCCCTTATACTAACAACCCTTCATAGGGATTATGATACCCCAATCCCTTTTAAGGACTGCTATATAGTATATAAGGGGGATCTTCTCAACTAAAAGCCCCGCTCCTTGCCTTTTAAGCTTCTGTTCAAAAAAGGGAGCCTCGGGCTGTGGTCGCGTGGAGGGGCTTAAAGAGGGTTTAGGGTTTAGGGTGTAGGGCTTAGGGCTTAGGGCTTAGGGCTTAGGGCTTAGGGCTTAGGGTTTAAGATTTGTTTGTGGGCCCCTATATAGCCCGTTGAACCCGCCGAAGCACTTGAACGGCATCGGCGCGGAGGAGACGAAGTCAAACTTCTTGGTTTCGGGTTTCCCTAAACCCTAAACCCTAAACCCTAAACCCTGAACCCTTTCCCCACCCACCCACCCCTGGAGCCTTGCTCGCCCACGCGTGAAGGAAGATGCCAGCGTAGTGGAAATCCCGACGCTGAAGGTGAGCGTCCTGGTTGGAATTAGGCTTTTGGCTTTGTAGGGTGAGGGGTGTAGGGGTCTATGGGTTCGGTTTAGTGCTTTCTGGGGCCAGCCAGCCTAGCCCCAAACTTTCCTCAAGCAGCTCCACATATTTGATGAAACGACTCCTATGTTGGGATGTTACATGATGTTACCACTTATGCTAACAGTCCTCGACAGGGATTGTAATAGGGGGTACTATAATCCCGATTAAGGATTGCTAGTAGAAGGGGGTACATCCCAATGCTAGAGAGACACTGAATCCGAAAGCCTAAAAGCCCCTCAAAACACTTGAACTTACATCCTCCATAAACTCCTAAACCCCACAACCCCAAAACCCTGAAACCCCAAGACCCCCCAAAACCCTAAAGCTCCAAAAACCCTACAACCCCAAAACCTGAAACCCAAGTTGTTCCAAAAACCTAAAACCCTAAAACCCTAAACCCTAAACCCTAAACCCTAAACCCTAAACAACAAACATTTTACTGTTCAGGTCCGGGAAGCCCAGCCCTGCGGCTCCGCACAGGCCCGGAATTCTGCCGCGGACAGGGTTCCTGGGTGTTGGGGCTTAGGGTTTAGGGCTTGGGGTTTAGGGCTTAGGGTTTAGGGTTTAGGGTTTAGGGTTTAGGGTTTAGGGTTTGGGGGACCCAGGGTCTACTTGGAGGTTCATGGGCACTTATAACCCCAAGTATAAGTCTACTTACAACCTGCTTAGAGGACACCAGGGGGCTTATAAGTACAGTTACAAGTGGGGTTTTAAGGTTTAATTAGGGTTTAGGGCTTTCTGGGCATGCGCATGGCTGGGCGTTTGGGGTTTGGGGTTGTAGGGGTTCTGGTTGAGGTCTAGGGTGGTCGGTTTGGGGTTGAGGGGGGTAAGGTTCTCGTCGTGTCTGGGTGATTCTGGTCCACGGTTGAGCGAACTGGAAGCCATGTGGTTTGGGCTTAGTGTGGTTCAGCGTTTCTAGGGTGCTTTCATTCACCCTCAACCCCTTTTTTTAACCCTACTCTTACTGCTGGTTAGCAGGGAATGGGGGACTGAGGTACTCTATATAGTCCCTTGAATGGGGTACCTCATACCCTCATTCCCTGCCGATTCCCTGCTGACCAACCCTAAACCCTAAACCCTAAACCCTAAACCCCTTATTAAAAAAAAAAAAAAAAAAAAACATACTACCGCAGGCCCAGTCTCCATCCTGGCCAGTGTCGCAGCTGGCGAAGCCATCCCGGAGAACCTTCCAAACAAAGGATACCAGGATGGGCTATGAGGCCTTATAATCCCCATGGAAGTTTAGGGTTTAGGGGTTTAGGGTTTAGGGGTTTAGGGTATTGAGGTCTTTAAAGAATCCCCAGAATCAGCCCTCTAAAGTGCCTTGTTAACGGGGGTTTTAGGGTAGAACAGCCCATCCTGGTCTGTATCCCACACCTCATCGGTGTCTTTCGGTCTCTGGAATGGATGTATTCCTGAGAGTTTGCGCCACCCGAAATCTCCGAAATCCAAAATCACCCAGGCTTCTGGGGATAAGGATTGGCCTAGACGTCTATATGCCATCATGACTTCAACCACGCCCTGCGTTCTAGCCCAAACCGCCTTCCGCACGCGGCCTTCCTCCTCCAGCCCTGCCACGCGGAAGGCCACGCGCACAGCGGGCGACATGATGCCAAAGGCGCTGTACAGCATCCCAGAGATGTTGTCCGCCTCGGGGTGCTCAGGTAGTTTCCACATGTGTAATAGAGCCTCGACTCCCGACTTCGGCCGAAGGGCTTTCTTCAATATAAGGCCCAAATCCCAAGACCCTGCCTGATCCCTAAACCCTAGACACTAAACACCCTCTACTCCCTAAGCCCTAAACCCTATGTAAGCCCCTTACCCCCCAAGACCCTGCCTGATCCCTAAACCCTAAACCCTAAACCCTGAACCCTAGACCCTGAACCCTAAACCCTACAAACCCTATAAACCCTATAAACCCTATAAACCCTAGAAACCCTATAAGCCCTATAAACCCTACTGTATAAACCCTTTCTAAAAACCCTATACCCTAAAGACCCTGCCTGATCTTCTTTGTTGGCAAAGGAGTTCACCTCCGCGGCGCGGAGCGCGGCCGCCAGCAGGGGGCCGGCCGTGGAGAGGCCCCCCTCTCTGCGGGCCTGCCGGCCTTGGGTTTAGGGTTTAGGGTTTAGGGTTTAGGGTTTAGGGTTTAGGGTTTAGGGTTTAGGGTTTAGGGTTTAGGGTTTAGGGTTTAGGGTTTAGGGTTTAGGGTTTAGGGTTTAGGGTTTAGTATACCTCCTAAGAATCCGATCAGGGGTTTTTACAATAAGAGCCTACAAAAAGTAGGTTTTGGGTTCTTCAGCTAACCTTCTCACCCTACTAGCCAAATAAGGGACCTGGACCGTAAATATTGGGTAGACTTCCCTTGCTCAGGGTGATTTTTGTATCTTGGTTACTCTGAAGTTCTGTTTCAGGATTGCAGATTGCAATACTGGGTTGAGTCGGGCTTTGTGCGGCATATTTGCAGGGATTTGAGGTTAGAGGGTTGTGGTACAGGGAGCGTCTGAAGTTCTGGGAACTCAACCGACCGACGCAATAGAAGAGCCTTCAAAAATCACGAGCACTATGCCTTTAAAGTCTTCAGTTGCAATAGCCCAAGCTAGCTAGCCATTCGAATTTCTTAACCCTAAACCATCCCCAAACCCAATTGCCCCTCTATGACTACTAATTGCTGAAGAACCCCCTCAAAATATTCTTCCCCATAACATATATATATATATATACATATGTATGTAGATATATATATATATATATGGGTAATATAGAGATTAATATTTGTTGATTTTCTATCGGGCTCTTAAGCAAACTGTAGATGAACTCGAAACTCGCGCCCAGCTTCGCTTTCTGGCCTCTTGCAGCCTCTCTGCAGCCCAGCCGAGGACCTTCTCGGGGTCTTCGTGGATGAACTGATCCTTGCGCATCGAGGCCATTTTTGGCGGTTAGCAACATAAGGGGTCCCCAACTATAGACCCCCCCAAGTAGTAGGATTCCCTGATATTCAAGGACACCAAGAAGGTACCCCTAATTTCGGAAACCTCCAATTTGGGCTAGTAGTCGGGCATTCAGCGAACTGTTCGTGACAGGGGCTTGGTCTTTGATTTCGTTCTAAGGACCCCAAACCTACTTGTTTCGCAGGTTACCTAAGAATCCTCAAAGGTGTTTTGGCAGCAGAACCTGCAACAAACCAGTAGGTTTCGTAGGCCCGCAACAAACCCGTAGGTTTTGTAGGCTCTTGAGGTTGGTTTGAGGGTTGAGGGTTGAGGGTTGAGGGTTGAGGGTTTAGGGTTTAGGGTTTAGGGTTTAGGTTCGGTTTTGTGCTACACTTGCACACATCCTGGCGCTGGTCGCGCGCGCCCAGGGCATCCACGTAGTGGTTTACGCGGAAGACGTCCGGCTGGAAGAAGGCCTATGGGGCTTTTGAAGAACCTCCAAGGAAAAATCTTTGGGGGCTAGGAGAACCCCAAAAGCCTAAATAAATAGAAAACAGGCGAGTCTCTGTAGTGTATAATCCAGAAATTCGAAGACATGGAAATGGAAAGCACCTGCTGAAAAGTTCAGGGGCATTCTGCTTGCGCGGAGGCTCCGGCCAGGCGTTGGTAGTATTGACAGACAGGACATGGTCGGGATTGGCTCCCACGATATGCCAGTACCTTTTTGGGACACTAGACTTGTGTAGGGCATCTATAGCATACTAGGACTCAGGCATATTCAGGGCCCCACTAATTCCTGTACTGTCCTAGCCCTTTCCAAGCCATGCAAAACTTCAAGCAAGACCTTCGCACTAAGCTCAGCGCTCTGTTACACCAGGAGCTTTCGCTGGTTCTCAGCAGGGAACCCCAAAAACCCTAAACCCTAAACCCTAAACCCTAAACCCTAGTTCAGAAAGTAACCCTGGGGCCCGAAGCCACCTGCATTGAACACATCGAAGTGGGGCCGGGGGGCAGCTTCCCGGTGTGCCGCCGGAACCGCTGGATGAGCGGGGACTTCCCGGCCGCAGCCGCACCTCCATAGTTCACAGCCGGCAGCCGCACCACAGTTGTAAGGTTGTCCATCGCAGCCGCTGACAGCCACCGCTTGAATCCGCCTTGCCGATGCCTTGGGGGACGAAATGAGCCCTTAATATTGGGTCATATACCCCTGACTACTATAATTCCCATCAAGGTAGATGAACCATAAATTCTAAACCCTTTTCGGGTTCATTTAATCCCCAAGGTGCTTTGCAGACACAAGGAACTCGTCGAAGGAGTGCAAGGAAAAGACGGTTTCCGCCCGGCCCCTGACTTAGTTGCGGAGATCATAAGCCCCTAAAAAAGTGTACACTTTCAGTTTTATAGGGGATGGGATTACCTAAAAAGTGTGCACTTTCAGTTTTATAAGGGATGGGATTATAGTATCCCAAAAAAGTGTAAAGTGTACTCACTCAAGCTACTAAGCCTGTATCGCCAGAAGCATTGGGTAAGCGCGATGGCCTCCAAACAGATTGGATTCCACCAGTTGCCTTCCGCCAGCCGCGTGGAATTCAACGTGCTCGGAAAATCTGGGTGATAGTCAACATCCTTGGGGACGAAATGAACGCTAAAATTGGGGTGATATACCCTAACTACTATAATTCCTACTAAGATCCATTAAGGTATATGAACTAAAAGCCCCTATTTTATGGTCATTTAGTCCCCAAGGATCCTTGCGCCGAGAGAGGGCCGCAGCTCCTGAGCCATCGAGATCATACACGGACCAATGGTCGATTCCCATGTCATTGTGGTAGTCCTTGGGGAATGAAATGAACCCTAAAAGGGCTTATGGTTCATATACCTTAATAAGAAATTTTGTTGTCTAGGGTCCTTGGGGAATGAAATGAACCCTAAAAAGGCTTATGGTTCATATACCTTAAAAAGAATTTCTGGTAGTCTAGGGTATATGACCCCAGTTTTAAGGTTCACTTGGTCCCCAAGGGTCAAGCCAGTCTTCCAGCAAATCACGATTGGACTCAAGTCGGTATAAGGGCTGTGGGCAAACTGCGAACTGGTACTTCTGCGGCGCCGCCCTCACGCGCATGCGCAGTCGCAGTGGCCTCTGCCAGCGGAAGGGATCTACGAGGCTCAGGTCAATTCTGCTCCTCTTGGCAGGGAGGATGCAAGACCAAGCTCCTGGCCCGTATGGAGGGTGTACCAGCAGCCCTGAGGTCATGAAAGCAAGACGAACCCATGTTGCATCGTGATCAGGGCCATCGCCCAGCATGCAGAAGACGCTGTGGAAGTGGGAGAAGAAATCCATCTCACATCGGTTCTCCTATACTCCCCTTAGAACCTAAATAAAATCAATATGTTTCATATCCTCTTGGATTTTGCATAAACAAAAAAATAATTCCCAAGGGGGATATAGTTTCTGTGTACGCGTTGAAGAAGCCACTCAGATGCCCCGTCGACTGCAGGGGCTCCTTGGCAGCCCAGCATCCCATTCTAAAATGCTAAAAACGGCAATTACCAGTCTTGGGCTTGGTTAGTTGATAAGGGGAGCTTTTATCAAAAAAATAGGCAAAGAGGGCACCACTGGGTTAGCAAGGGTCCATGAAGACCAGGATATCTAGCAGCCGCGTTTTCTTGCCGGAGCCCATCAAGTCACCGCAAGTCCTTTTGGATGCTGCCAGGCCGATTGCAGCCAAGCGGTCGTCTCTGACTACCACCCTGGTGGCCAGGCTGTCCTCCAGGTTCGGGTTTAGCGTTTAGCGTTTAGCGTTTAGCGTTTAGCGTTTAGCGTTTAGCGTTTAGCGTTTAGCGTTTAGCGTTTAGCGTTTAGCGTTTAGCGTTTAGCGTTTTTTCGTTTAGCGATTTTCGTTTAGCGTTTAGCGCTTAGCGTTTAGCGTTTAGGGTTTAGGGTTTAAGGTTTAGGGTTTAGCACTTAGGGTTTAGTAAGGGCCTACTGATGAAGGTCTTTCTGCCCGCTCAGAGCATGCTTCCAGCATGAGTACAAGCAGGGCTCGGGACTGAGGTGTGCGGCTTTTGCCGCTAGCTGTCTCCTCTGCACAAGAGCCCTCCAGAATTCCAAGCTCACACCCTGACTCACCTAGATGCCACGAACCCCCGAAATCGCGTAGGGTTGGCGAACCAGTACCTTTAGGCTCAAATTATCCAAAAAGCCGTTTATAATAAGGCCTTTGGGCCCAGAAACATTAAACTAAGAGTCCTTGGAACCTTGGGGGTAATTAGGGTGTTTTCAGGGCTCAGGGACGTGTTCTGTGTCAATACCCCTTTAATAAGGAATATACCTTAAATCATATTACGGATCCCTTTAATTAAGGGCTATTAGGCTCTATGGGTATATATGTGTCCAGCTCCACGGGGGCCACGGCTCCAGCGCAAGCGTTCTCCAGTTGCTGTCCGACCTCGCCGTCGAGAGGTGGCGCCAAGTTTGCCAGCTCCGCGAAAAGCCGCGAAACGTCCTGAGAAAGAGAGGGTTTAGGGTTTAGGGTTTAGGGTTTAGGGATGTTTAGGGTTTAGGGTCTAGGGTCTAGGGTTTAGGGTTTAGGGAAAGTCAGAGGTGAGGCAGGCAGGAACTGCGAGTCCTGTATGTTCTAGGCTTGTAGCCTAAACCCTATAAACCCTGAGGGTTTTTAGAGGGTGTGTCAGTCCTTCACCCGAAGCAATGAGGACAGCCGGCCATCAGATGCACACGGTGAGAGAAGTCTCTGCGCCTTCAGCAACGCCTTCTCTGCAGCTGAGGGGGCACTCCTGGGGCAGAGCGCGTCAGCAACGCTCGCATGCTTCCCACCCAGACACGTGGGAGGATCCAAAAAAGTAGGGTCCCTCAATTAAGGGCTTCTCTTAAGAATGGCCCAAGAAGTAGATCCCCTTAAGAGGTCTTAAGAATGACCCAATAGTAGTAGCACAGGGTACTATGTGGGGGGTTTACTTTTTGAATCTTCCCAGAGGTCTTCCCTAACCCTTGAGCAACGGACTTTGGAGGCTGCCGGCAAACATGCAACTTCTTAGAAGTCACACCACGCAAAACATCACGCAAACTGGTCTATGCACCCATATCACCATGAGGAAGCACACGTGAATTAAGGAAAGAAATCTGCAAGGCCGTGAGTATATCGAATAGTAGAATGCGCTGAAACTGTTGCCACATACGACTAGCCAAGTGATGCAAGAACAAGAGCAAACTGTCCGCCAGCTCTTCGCCTAAATGCAGCTGTATGACCAGGGGAGCAGAAAGCATGCAGATGTGCTGAAGTGTAGTCGCCCAGGAGTTACAGGCATCCGAACCCTCAACCACAGCGAGATTCATCCAGCCCTCTTCGACAGACAACCAGTGTAGACAAAATCCCTCAGGGAGAGGCTGCACATACACCAACTGTAACCATGAAGGACAAAGACTGTAGAGTACCGATCTTGGGACAGTAAGCATACCACTCAAGGACCTGGGGAGCCTTTGCAGCCCACCAGTCTCTGTCAGCAGCTCTCACAGCAAGAGCCTCATCAGTAGGAAGACTCGATCCACCAACCAACCGTTGGACCATGACCTAAACCCTAAAACCTAAACCCTAGACCCTAAACCCTCCTCAGGTTTGTGGGCCCCATGAGCCCTTTGAGGGTTTATTCAGCCCGGTCTCTTCTGCAGCAGCGAGGCAGCCCGGCCGACGTCGCACTGGCCCGGCGCTGCTGTGCAGTTGGCTTCCACGGAGGAGTTTGCCAAGCGCCGGCACAAGCCCTCCTCGGTTAGGGTTTAGGGTTTAGGGTTTAGGGTTTAGGGTTTAGGGTTTAGGGTTTAGGGTTTAGGGTTTAGGGTTTAGGGTTTAGGGTTTAGGGTTTAGAGTTTAGGGTCTAGGGTTTAGGGTTTAGGGTTTAGGGTCTGAGGCGAAGGCAGGGCTTACAGAGCATTAAGGCTTTTGGGGCTCAAGCCCCACAGCCTTCTAAGCGCAACTCGTAACCCCCAAAGCACCTAAACGCCCGAAACTCTAAACCCTAAGCCCTAAACCCTAAACCCCATAAACCTATAAACCCTGAACCCTAGCTCCAAAACCCAACATTCGGCCCTTCAGCCTGCGCCCCCACATCCGAGACTCCGCCACCTGCGCCAAGGCCAGGAAGAGGGCCTTCGACCAAAGACTGCCTGGTCGCTTCAAGGTGTAGTAGGCTTAGGGTTCAGGGTTAGGGTTTAGGGTTAGGGTTTAGGGACTATGGTCTAATCAGGACCTGGGAGGTGTTAGACCTATAGCAGCGTTCGTGTTTTTGGAAGACCTACACGTTTACAAGTCGATAGGAGTCACCCCTTCATCCAGAGTTCATGAACCGTAAACGGCCAAAGCATCTTGGGGTAGAACCCTAAACCCTAAAGCCTAAACCCTAAACCCTAAACCCTAAACCCAAGATGACCCCAGCATGGGGGGGCAGATGCTCCCCTCTTCCAGGGCTTTAATACATCGTCCCAACAGCAACGGTGGCACCTTGTGCTCCCTACCCCACCGCGGTTTAGGGTTTAGGGTTTAGGGTTGGCTCCACCCCCACCCTGACCACCCTGAATTGAGAGGGGCAGGTACCCTACTTGGAGGTTCAGGGTACTTATTATAACCCCATTTTTAAACTGCAGACTTAGAATTGGGGTTATACGCAACCATGAACCTCCAAGTAAGTCCTAACAATCAACCTAAAATTCTATCTGCTTAAGAGCCCCGCCCCCCCCCCCCCCCCTCCCCAAATCAAAAACAAGGTATTCCGCATAAGGGCAATATAGGGATTATGATTTTACACTTTTTTCGGATTCTCAAGCAAGTAGCTCTTCTCCCCTTAGAACCTTAATAATAACACTAACAAGAATAACCAAAATAATTCCCAAGTGGGATATGATGTAGGGGATAGGATTAGGGGGACCCTTGGGGATATAGACCCTCTGAATAAGGTCCCTGTTTAAGAGAGCCAGAAGAGGGTTAAGAAGGGGTTCCCTTGTAAGGGTCCCCCTTATCCCTAAACCCTAAACCCTAAACCCTAAACCCTAAACCCTAAACCCTAAACCGTTATGGATAGCAGCAAAATCAAACGCCAGGACGCTCAGGAGCTCGGGCCACGGGACATCCAGGAGCAAAGTGAGCTCGGTTGTGAAAGGCAGCTCCTTCTTGGGGGGGGGGGGGGGGGGTTTAGGGTTTAGGGTTTAGGGGTTTAGGGTTTAGGGTTTAGGGTTTAGGGTTTAGGGTTTAGGGTTTAGGGTTTAGGGTTTAGGGTTTAGGGTTTAGGGTTTAGGGTTTAGGGTTTAGGGTGCGTCAGGGGAGGGCGCGCGCTCGGGTGTGAAACACCCCGGGCCGCGCGCTCGCGTTGCCCGTCAACCCACCCCGGCCACCCAAACTATACTCTATTAGGGTTGAGGGTTTATGGAATTTACTTTCTTGTGCCCCGATGCTTACTTTTACGTTTTTGAAGTTGTGGTGTTAGGGTTTAAGCTGGGGTTGGGGGTAGCCTCGGCCCTTTTCGGGCCTTCGGCGTGTCAGGGCCCGTAGAGGCCCTTATTTATTTGAAGGTCAGGGAAACCCTTTGTGCCTGGTCCTGGATTCCCCTTCTTTGAGGGCCTCAAGCCTTTTTGGTGGCTCTTGGGGCCTCTTGGGGGCTTCCTGGGGGCTTTCCTGGCCCTTCTGGGGTAAAATGACGGGGTGCCCAAAACCATCGTTCTGAATACTAAAAAATCGCATTTGTCATTGCGGGCGCGAGCAAATCCTGGGGCCCCCTCCTTTACAGCCTTTTGAAGCCTTTTGGTGGCTCTTGGTGCCTCTTGGAGGCCTTGTGGGGTAAATGGAGGGGTGCCCAAAACCATCGATTTCAGTACGAAAAAATAGCGGGAAAAAATGGGGTCCCTCTTTTCGGGGCCTTTTGAAGCCTTTTGATGGCTCTTGAAACTAAAAAAATCGTTTTTCTATGGCAAGTACGGTAAATCCTGGCGAACCCGCTGGGCCTTTTGAACCTCTTGCCCTTACCGGCCGCCTTTGGTTGTCCGGTGTCCTGGGGAGGCCTAGGCGGCGGCCGGGCCCTTCGGAGAGGTGGGGGGGGTTTTTGCAACCGGCGTGCCTGGACCCTCTTACAGGCCCTCTGGTCCAGGAATCCAAGCCGCCAGTTGCAGGGGGCCCCCGGCAGGGCTTGCCCAGCAAACCCTGAACCCAAAACCCTGAACCACGTCCACAGGCAAAGGGTTGCGCTTTAGGGTTCTACTGTAGCTACGCTAAAGGTGGTCTGGGTGCCGGCCATCCCTTAGCCGAGTACTGACGATGCCGTAAAACAGGCCGATGTCCGTTGGCCTGTCCAGGACAGACGGTGAGGCTTAACCCTCACCTTTCCGTTTCTCTTTTCGCTTGGGCGCTCGGGCTGTAAGGCCCTCGGCCGAGCGTTCGGGGTCTGTCGCTCGACGGAAGGGACCCCTCACTTAGTTTAGGGTTTAGGGAGTTTCACAACTTTCGGGTCAAAGGTTGCACACTTTGGAAGGGCCCTAAGCCCTCAACCCTAAAATGCTGAACCCTAAGCGAAACCCTAAACCCCTTTAGGATAACTCCTTAGAGGTTCATCGGGAGGGAGGTGGACTGGAAGGCGCTAAAAAGCCCGTTTAGGGTTTAGGGTTTGGGGCCCTGTGGGGAGGCTCCAATGAGGTGTTGGGATTTTATCTTGAGCTATACCGCGGGGTTCCCTATCATGATGTAACGTCTATTGCCGAATTAAGGGGTAAGCTGGAATACAAGGATCAGGCTGCTGAGTCTTCTGAGGGTGTGTGGCCGCAAAGCTGGGCACGTGGGGCCCGTGTGAGTTCGACGATCACGCCCAAAACCCGAAACCCTACATGTTCAATCGGCCGTGGGCAACTTAGGTCCCTGCGTCTACTTCTGTCCGTGCGCCTCTGACCAAGGGATGTTCTCCCTTATACTAACAGTCCTTCATAGTGATTTTACTAGGGGGTAGACTGTTGGTATAAGGGGGAACATCCCAATCTATTCCTGAATTAAGGGGTATTGGGCTCCTTGCCCCGTTCAACTGAGCCGCCACCAGATGCTCGCTGTGAACTCCTGTTACAGCCCTGCTTGGAGACTCATGGGTACTTACAACCCATAATTAATTATAAGTCTACTCATAACCTACTTAGAGGACTAAGGGGGCTGATAAGTACAGGTAGAATTGGGGCCCTAAGTACCCCCGAAACTCCAAGTACTCGCACTCAGCCGAAAACTGAGGCCGGGACCCAAGCTGCTCCATTTGACCAGAAACCCGAAACCTTTGTTTTCTGTTTTTTTCTTTCACCTAAACCCTAAACTCCAAACCCTAAACCCTAAACCCTCAACCCTGGCGGCTCCCTCGCTTCGGTCGCAAAGGCCAAGCTCGGCCTCTCTTGCGGGAGCACTTCCTTCGGGGGGTTTAGATTTTCGGGTTTAGGGGATGGGCGACTATGCCGCATAACTTGGGATGTTCCCTCTTGTACTAACAGCCCTTAAAAGGGAGACAAAGGAGAAAAACGAGGGGGGGGGGGGGGGGGGGGGAGGGGAGTACTATAATCCCTGCTACATCCCAAAGGATGCTAAACCCTAAACCCTAAAACCTAACCCTAAACCCTAAACCCTAAACCCTAAACCCTAAACCCATAACCCCTGCAAAGGACCCTTTAGGGTTGCCTATGCGGATTGCAAGGCTTCCTAGCCCATCCTGGCAAGTCCTTAAGTCCCCAAAGAGCCCGAAACACCTTGGTTAAGCAATTTCTGACGCTTCAGGGATCTAGAGGTATAGTCTTTCAAAGGTTTAGGGCTTAGAAAGGCAGCTGTGAAGATGTTTGAATGCGTCGAGATTGCAACCATTTGCAGAGTATTGAAGGCCCGCTCGTTTGCCAGAACAGGGTTTAGTGGTTTAGTGGCCTTCATGGAAAATATGTCCTAAAAGAAGGGTGTGTAGATGATCCCGGTCAATTAGAGGCCCTAAACCCTACAAACCCTAAACCCTAAACCGGGCATGTCGACCAAGGCTGAGTTTGTTTTTCAACCTCTGCCTCCAGCCATGGTGGTAGGATGCCGCAGCCCAGACATGCCTTGGCATCATCAAAGACTTGGTAGCCCAGAAAACCCTAAACCCAACAGTCCTTCATAGGGATTATAAGAGGCGGTACTAGAATCCCCAGGCTTGTTAAGGACTGTTAGTGTAAGGGGGAACAGCCCAATTCACCACCAATGCCAGAATCTCATTTCTTGTATCCGGTTTTTCGCAGGCCATAATCCCCATTAAGGACCGTTAGTATAAGGGGGAACATCCCAACCAGTAACCATATTACACTAAGGGCACCCTTCTTGGGGGTTGGTTACTTGATAAGGCCCTTGAACCAAAAAAAACGCTGCAGGGCCCCACTACCAAGAGGATGCCTGGTGGTGGGTCGTACGGGTTGGTGGCATCGAGCATTTTGTTCAAAATGGCGCAGGGGCTAAGTGCAGAGTGTAGTCTTAGGGGAATTGCACGGGCCCTTAACATGGGCCCTGAACTCTTACAGCGCTTATATACTGTTGACCCTATAAAGGCCAAGGTCACATGCTGCAGAAGCCTCTAAGAGGACTCTCAAACAAAGGCAAGGGATCATGTAATTGCCAGACCTGAGGTAGTCAGCCTCCACCTACAAAGAACTTAGGGTTTAGGAGTTTGGAGTTTAGGGTTTAGGAGGAGTTTAGGAGTTTAGGAGTTTGGAGTTTAGGGTTTAGGAGGAGTTTAGGAGTTTAGGAGTTTAGGGTTTGCCCCTCTTATATTTGACTTGGACTTGCTTGGCGGCAGTATTCGAATGGCCGCGCCGGCAAGAGGGCAGCTCTCAAATGCTGGCGAGTTCCTGGGAGATGCCGGGGCTAGCACGGAGGGGTTCCTTTCGGGTTTAAATTCACCTCAAGTTGTCAAGAATCCCAACCTACCTTTTTGTGTAGGTTCCTAGGAATCCTGTAGGGGCTTTTAGAAAAGAACCTGCAGCAAAGTAGGTTTTGGGTTTATAGGGTGGGGTTTAGGCTTCGGGCCCTGGGAATCTTCAACTGCAACGCTGAGACATGATGGGAATTAGGGGCAACCCTAAACCCTAAACCCTAAACCCTAAACCCTAAACCCTAAACCCTAAACCCTAAACCCTAAACCCTAAACCCTAAACCCTCATCCGATCACCAACAGCTTCAACTGCCTACAGCAGACCCCACGTCCGACCTCTGTCTGCCTTGTGGACCAAAAGGCTTTATGGTCCATATACCTCAAAAGGAATTATTAACTCCTTTTGAGGTATATGGACCATAAAGCCTTTTGGTCCACAAGGATGATAGTAGTAAAGGGTATATGACCCTAACTTTAAGGTTCACACACCTTAATGGGTATAATAGTAGCAAAGGATATATCCCTAATTTTAAGGTTCACATACCTTAGTGGGTATAATAGCAGCAAAGGATATCTGACCGAGGATTTTAAGGCGTTCATGTGGTCCCCCAAACGATCTGGCCATGGCTCACGTGGTGCAAGGCAGCGTCGACCAGGTGCTGTTGCAGCTCGCCACCTCCCCATAACTGTACATCCTAAACCTTAAACCCAAAAAAAACTAAACCCTAAGCCCTAAGCCCTAAGCCCTAAACCCTAAACCCTAAACCCTAAACCCTAAACCCTAAACCCTAAACCCTAAACCCTAAACCGCCACCTCCCCATAACTGTAAAAGGAACCTTTGCTTTACTGGGGTGACTGAAAATGGCTGAACTATTGCAGAATCCAGCGAAGGACATACTGCCTGTTCCGGAAGAGTGCTTGTGCAAGTGAGCACTTTGAGCAGCAGGTTTCCGACACATGATCTGCAACCTCATGCCGGCGAAATGCCCACTCATGCGCTCCCACAATCTCCCTCTCTCTCTCTCTCTTTCCTCTCTCTCTCTCTCTCTCTCTCTCTCTCTCCCTCTCCCTCTCTCTCTACATTACTATGCGCCCAAAGAGTGCGCTCAGTTCAGCGTATGCAGGACAGTCGTCTTGCCTTGTGTGGCTGCCGCTCGGACCGCCCGGCGCGCTTGGTCTTGCTGACGCCTGTGGGGCGGGTGCTTGAAGATGCTAAAACACGGTTTGGGGTTTAGGGTCTACACGGCGCTGTCTCTGAGTCTGAGGGTTTGGAGTTTGGGGTTAGGGTTTAGGGTAGAAAGAACTTGTGGGAGCCCCATGTTAACCGACAGGAAGGCTCAGTCGAGAGCAGCCTAGGGTGGCACGACAGTAGCAAGCTGGTGCCCTTTTTGGTTCACAGGGGCTTCTGAGGCAACCGAAACCCTAAAACAAAAGTATCAAGGCCTACTCTGGGTCCTAGTTCAGCGGACGCGTATATGTGGCGTGGGTGACAGGCGACATTGACCGTTCAACAGCTCTACATCTAGTGTACATACACTCGCCGGGATCTTACCTCGCACCCCAGCTGCTGATGCCCCTGCTCTATTGACACCTGCATTTACCATCTGACAAACTAAACCCTAAGCCCCTTTTTTGAGCCTGGAAGCTGCTTCATGCCAGGCTAAACCCTGAACCCTACTTAAAACCCTATAACCCTAAACCGTCAGCGCCTGGATGTCCAAGTGCAGCGTGCAGGATCTTCCGGAATCTGAGAGAGCTCCGTGGCCAAATTCGCTGCGTCGGACCACTCGCTCTTGCAGCTGGAAAACATGTCACATATGTGTCCATCCGCTTTGAAGTACAAGCAACTGATCGTTTGCCTGCAGATGTCAGCACACTGTTGAGCTGTCATCGCCTGAGGAAACTGAGCTCGGTAGATTGGGCGCGGGCGGGCGCAGAACTCTCGATGGAATTCGGCATCCGCCTTGGCGGCACATGTGTCGCCATGGCAGGTCTCGCCGGGTTCGTCGAGTGCGGAGCAGCCCAGTGTCCACACGACGACCCAAACGTAGCACAGCATCCCATGGCCAAGGGCAGTCAGTCACGGCCAGTCCATGTGGCAGCATTCAGTGGTGTGGCATTCCTTGCTACTTGCTTGTGGTTGTGCTCGCACATTTTCCATGCAATGAGCATTGAACAGTCTGCATGAAGCGGGTATCCCAGTGGTCTGGCACACCTCTGCTTATCCCAGTGGTCTGGCACACCTAAGAAGCGAATCCAGCTGGGGTGCACAAGGCAAAGAGACAGCAGCTGTCCGAGTCGAGCAAAATGTTGCTGCACGCGACTCTTTGCCATCTTGGCCATCATGAAAACCACTTCACCCAGCAGCCGTGACTGAACTTTGGTCTTGCATGGAAACCCTAAACCCTGAACCCTAAACCCTAAGCCAAACCTTCAGACAAACAGGGTGAGGGGCATATCCTGTACTGCGTGCTCGACCTTTCTTCCTCCAAGCCCTGCTGAAACAAGGACTTCAGATTGTAGTCTTGACCCTAAACCCTAAACCCTAAACCCAAAACCCGAAACCCTGAGTCCAGTCCTCCAAGAACTTATCCAGGCTCAGCCTTAGATGATTAGCGGTTGAGGGTTTTGGCTTGCCACCCACCTGGCCATGCGATGCGGGGCGGACGGGCTTGAATGGCTAGAGGAGGTTCATGGTACTTACTAACCAATAATAACTGTACTTATAACCCTACTTATAATCCCCCTAAAGGCCCTTATAGGGGTTATTCCACTTATGAGTAGGGTTATAAGCCCAGTTATAAGTGGTTAGTAAGTACCATGAACCTCCAAGTAGGAGTGATAATAGCTGCGTGGAGGGGACTGAGGTTCTAAAAAGCAACGCAAGGCCGGGTTGAGGGCTTTGTGGGGTTTCAAGCTCGGCCCAGCCATGACAGTGCTTAGGCCAAGGGTTATTGGTATTGCCCAGAAGCATCTTCTCCAGGTGCTCGTCGTAGAGCACGAATGCCCCAGCCTTCAGTGAACCCTGTATCCAAGACCGCCCCCGGTTTAGGGTTTAGGGCCCCCCAGCGGACTGTGGCAAAGGGGTCCACCCCCCCCCCCCCCCCCCCGCGCAAGATTGGTGGCCAGAGGTTGCCACGGTTTTCCCTTGAGTTGCAACAAAACCACAAAACCACAATAAGCAGCTGCTGTTCTATCCCTCGACAAACGGCCTAGATACACGGGAAATGCTTTCCGAAGTTTGGCATGGCTGCCCTAGACCAAGACCCCCCTTTGACGGGCAAATCGTTTAAGCGTCTTTTGTCTTTTAACCCATTTTTCAATCTATAGAAGCCCAAAACCCCCATAAGCCCCAAACCCAACAAATCTTAATGTACCTCTCCTTGATTGGCTACCATTGCAGCCATCGCCTGCCACCTCTTTCAAAAGAGGGTTGGCTTCTAGGGTTTCCGGCTTTCTAGTAGTCCTGGTCGGTTCTCAGCACTACCGGTATCTCATTTCGAGGAGAAGGTCTGAGAGACTTGTCGCCCCTCAAAGCACTCAGCTTTGAGTCTGAGTGTCTGCCGCCAGCCTGCCTCTCAAGTCTCTTCTGCAGCACAAGTTGAATCTTCACTTCGCCCCCCAACCCCCCTCCACTCGCCCCCCCAAAAAATGGGTTGTCAGGGTCATTCATGGACCTAGGACCTAGGGTCATGGGCGTGACTCAAGTAGGAGTCCCTCCACAATCCCACCTTGCACGCTGGGAGGATCCAAAAGGTAGAGCCCCCAAATAGTACCCAATACTACTCTTGGGTCAATTGTTGAGTACCCTTAAGGGGATCTACCTATGAGGTCATTCTTAAGAACCCTTAAGGGGATCTACGTTTTGGATCGTCACGGGGGTCTGAGAAGGCTTCGGCCTTGTTTCTGGGGATACTCGAATGGAGAGGCCATGTCGGGAGCGAGTCCAGGGAGCTTCTGAAGGGTTCCCCAAACCCTAAACCCTGAACCCTAAGCCCTAAACCCCTTTGCAACCCTGAGCCCTAAACCCTAAACCCGGGATCCACAAGAACACCGGGGCAGATGCGACGGTCAACGACTCGGCTCCTAAGCCGCGGCCTGCCGGGCGTCTGTAAGCTGGTGGCCAGAGGCGTTGGTTTGGGGTTTGGGGTTTGGGGTTTGGGGTTTGGGGTTTGGGGTTTGGGGTTTGGGGTTTGGGGTTTAGGGTTTAGGGTTTAGGGCAGAACCTCTGACAGGATTCGTAGTGACCTAAAAAACAATGTCATGTAGGTCTTGGGTTCTTGAGGGCAAGATTCAGGAGCCTAGAGCCCTAAGTCACCCGCACAATTGGGATCAAAGATTCTTGCTACAATTCCCCTATTCGGCATGTAGGTCAAAATTTAGGGCCCAAACCCTATATAATCCATTGCAGGGGTGGTTTGGTGCACCTCTGCCAGCCCCTGTGCCTTGACTCCTCTAACGGGGCCGATGTAAAATACATCGAACCCTAAACCCTAAACCCTAAACCCTAAACCCTAGACCCTAAACCCTAAACCCTAAACCCTAAACCCTAAACCCTACCTAAACCCTACACCCTTCAGAGTCCTATTGAAGTAGGGTGGGCGAGTTTGGGAGACCGGAGGTCGCTCTTATGTAGGGGCTGTAGCAAACCCTAAACCCTAAACCCTAAACCCTAAACCCTAAACCCTAAACCCAACTATAAGGGGAACGAGGGGATAGTAGTGAACATTTGGGACCCCTGTACTTTTCACACCACCGAAGACGAGGCAGCAGGCTTGAAGACTGAGGAAAACCCAAAGAGCCCAGTACCCATTGGTTAAGTAATACACCGTAATTTATTTTCAGGGATCCTGGGTATTAGGGTTTAGGATTGAGGGTTTAGGGTTTAGGGATCCTGGGTATGATTTAACCCTAAACCCTAAACCCTAAACCCCAAAACCCTAAACCCTAAACCCTAAACCCCATTCCTTACTTAAGGGGGTTGGGGGCAGTCAAGGGGTCTTGGGGCGCTTTGGGTTGGCATGCCATATGCTCTTCCTCTCTTCGGGAGGGGGCATTTCAGACTCACGCAACTCCGGGGCCGTTGATCGACTCAGGTGTCGGGGTTTCAGAATTTTTTTTTTGGGGGGGGGGGGGGGGGGTTGGGGTTCAGGAGTTTTGATTCCGCTCCCGCATAGCTAGACGCTAGCCGGGGTCAGGGTTTGGGGTTCAGGGTTAAAAAACCCTTTTTTAACACGGACCTCTGAAGCCTGTCCGTAACCCTAAACCCTAAACCCTAAACCCCAAACCCGAAACCCTGTAAGGCTCAGGGTTGCGGGTCACGGGGGCCTAACCGCAAGATCGCAGCGATCAGCGGCATCTCGTCCGCGCTCCGGAGCGGCGCGATCTTCCAAGGCACGGGCGCGGAGGTTTTTGGGGTTTAGGGTTTAGGGTTTAGGGCTATTTGCTTAAGAACCCCAAACAGTCATAAAATGATGATCCCTATATTGCCCTTATAAGGAATAGTCTTTTTGCATTTTTTGGGAGGGTTCTTGAGCAAATGGTAGGAGATCGAGGGAGTATACAGCTTACGAGGATGGGGATGGGCTAGGACACAAGAGGGCGCATGCATGAATGTGTGAGACATCCATAGCCTGGAGTAGCCTTTCCGGATTACATATAGGGTCAGGCCCTTTGATTTTAACCGTCAACACATCCCGCCCCCAAATTTGGCGTATCCTCTAGACAGCCCTTGTTCTTTGCGTACAGCACTGTTCTTAACCTTAAACTACTATTTGCTTAAGAACCCCGAAAAAACATATTCCTCCTTATTACGGGGAATATAGGGATTATTGTTTGTTTATTCTTTGGGGGTTCTTAAGCAAATAGTAATAAACCGTGTAAGCCGAAACGCGCATCCGACCGAGCACCTTCACATCTTCAACCCCAAACCCAAACCCCAAACGCCGGACCCCGAACCGAAAACCACCACCCTAAACCCTAAACCCTGAACCCTAAACCCCAAACCCAAACCCTAAACCCTATAAACCTTAAACCCAAACCCAAACTCTGCACCTAAACCCCAAAAAAAACTACCCAAAACTGTAGGTTTGTTTTGCCAGGGCCTATGGGCTTGTAGGGTTCAGAGGGTCCACAGGCTTTGCAGCGTTTGCAGTGCTTTTGCCTAGAATTTGCGGAGGACTCATGGGGTTTGTAGGGCGTATAGGCTTTGTGGGCACCTGTTTTTGTGGGGTTGGTCACTGTATTAAGGGAACCCAGAAAAAAGGGTAAAGGGGTACCAGACCCGAAACCCCGAACCCTTTTCCCGAAAGCCCTAAACCCTAAAGAACCAGACTTCTACTCAACCCTGGCCTAAACCCTAAACAAGGGTTCATAGGGTACTCAGGACTTACTTACTTCCCCAATGACCACGGGGAAAAAGGTTAACCTTTAATATTCCTACTAAATAAGGAAACCCGAAAAGTTTAGAGTTCAACTAAAGGCGAAGTAAGTGTGCGGGCCTTATGGGGATTTCGTAAACCCTAGTCCCTGAACCCCAAAACCCCAAACCCTAAACCCCAAACTGAAAGGGTTTACGGGGTTTGGGGCGAGGGTCCTCTCCGGCGACAAAGGCATCCAGGGATCGGCCCGAGTCGCTGCGGCTGGGGATGGGCAAGGTCATGGCTCCTCCAGGGCATTTAGGGTTTAGGGTTTAGGGTTTAGTAGGCTTTGGGGCTTAGGGTTTAGGGTTTCGGGTTTAGGAGTTTAGGGTCAAAAAAGCTTGCGGTCTAGGGTTCAGGGCTCGGGTTTTCGGGATTGGGCTCATGGATTAAGGCAGTAAGCCTTCCGAAGACTCTGCAAGCCATGAATGCCAGCATCCAAGATATCTGAAGCAGATCCCATGTCTGCCCTCCTGAACCCTTTTCGAGCAACGGACTTTTGAGGCTGCCGGCAAACATGCAACTTCTCAAAAAAAACCCAAACCGCAAACCTTAAACCCTAAGCCCTAAACCCTGACACTTGCTACACATGTCGCTTCACAGCTTTGCTTTTTGAAACCCAGAATATGTAGGTCTAACG